CGACATTGAAAAATTCACTTGGAATGCTTTTACTGCCGCCGACAGTGAGAAATTCAGTTGGTGTGCTTTTACTGCCGCCTACAGTAGACTTTATTTCCAAGTACTGTAGTACATATTGATAGTAGTACGTTACTTCAAACTATCTCGTAGGGTTTAGGTAGCGTTTGCAATGTATGGCGCAAAAAATATGTTTGTTTACATCGAATTAGAAACCTCCAAAGTAATCAGCGTTATCAGCTCCGGCGGCAGTAAAAGCTCCCGCAAAACAAAGCACATCAAAGGAGCTTTTACTGCCGTCGGCAGTGAAAGCTCCCGCAAAACAAAGCACATCAAAGAAGCTTTTACTGCCCCCGACAGTAAAAGCTCCTTGGAAACAAAGCACACCGAAGGAGCTTTTACTGCCACCGGCAGTGAAATCTCCTTCAAAACAATGCACATCAAATGAGCTTTTCCTAACGGCGACAGTAAAAGCACATCAAGTGTACTTTTACTGTAGTAGCGGCAGTAAAACAGTACTGACGAGTGCAGTAAATAGTTGAGTAAAAGTGCCGCCGTCATGTGAAGTGAGGGGGAAGACTTCTGATTACCACAATCTAAATTATCTGATGAAATGTAAAGGTGACAAGTGTACTTCAAACAGCTCACAAACGCGGTCCAACTTTTTTTCGTTCTAAATTAAATCTATCGCAGGGAGAATGCCATTAGAAGGCTCAAATCAAAATTTCGCGGTTCAGTGAATAAATAACTTTTTTTATCTTTCTCTTCGAAATTGACACAGAGATGCCTACATGTTGCCGTGCAGAATGCAAAACTGCAATTGGTTTTCATTTTTCTCTTTCGATTCTCATGAATATTTTTAAAGCGCCATCGATTAGTCAATAGGCAAACTAGATATTCATTTTGTGTTTTTACTTTTCAATGTCTATGCTCCGCCACCTATTAGACAGTAGGCGAAGCTTTGGTAGAGAAATGATCTGCCGATCCAGTAATTTCAATGAAACTAAATTCCTTCTCAAGCAAATTCTTTAAACATTACTGCCACCATTTAGTGAAGTGAGCGGTGATTATTCAACCGAAATAATGATTTGAATTCGATAGATCAACTTCAATTCAAGTTAAGGAATATCCATCACAATACTTTATGCGTTTTCGGTGTGTGCAGATACTGATAATATAGCATGGATATTTTAAGTCAATCAATAAAACTAGTAAAAATATGGATTTGAAATTTTAATCAAAACAGATCTGTAGTACAATCATTTTCCAATGAAAAAAAAAATCTTTGGTGAAATGAAACAAGTAAAAAAAGTACAATGGAAAGCTTTGTCTGCAAGTAGTAAGTAATACTGACGGGAACAAATGGAATGATTTAGTCGACTTCTTCGATGGTAGGTCCTGGGCCTCCTGCGGCTCCGCCTGCTCCTGGAGCAGCTCCGGCTCCTGGGAAGCCGGGCATACCGCCTGGCGCCCCACCGGCGCCCTGGTACAGCTTCGTGATGATGGGGTTGCAGATGTTCTCAAGCTCCTTCTGCTTGTGCTCATACTCCTCTTTCTCAGCCAACTGGTTGGCATCCAACCAAGCGATAACTTCGTTGCACTTCTCCATCACGGTGGTCTTGTCGCTCTCACTGATCTTGTCCTTGATCTTGTCATCCTCCATGGTGCTCTTGATGTTGAAGCAGTATGACTCGAGCAGGTTCTTGGCGGTGATGGTGGCCTTCTGCTTCTCGTCTTCGCCTCTGTACTTCTCGGCGTCGTTCACCATCCTCTCGATGTCTTCCTTGCTGAGGCGGCCCTTGTCGTTGGTGATGGTGATCTTGTTCTCCTTGTTGGTGGACTTCTCGATGGCCGTCACGTTCAAGATACCATTGGCGTCAATGTCGAAGGTGACTTCGATNAGGGAGGAGATGTTTTTGGTGTCCTTTCAAACGATATATCACTCGACCCCACTTTCCATTCAAAATTTTAGGGTTGTTACTCACCCTCGCTAGGAGGTTGAAGGCACAGGTAGAAAAATACATCTAAAATGTGTCCCCCTCAAAAGCAAATTTGACCTGTCCAAGCATTTTTGCGTTAAGTTACAAAAAAAGGTGAAAAGCAAGGTGCATACTTTTCGTTGGACCACTCGATATGTATATATGTGTATGTATATATGTATATATATGTGTGTGTATATATGTATATATGTGTGTGTATATATGTATATATATATGTGTGTATATATATATGTGTGTATATGTGTGTACAAGTGTATATATGTGTGTATATGTATATTTACACTAATTTATTATATATCTTTGTACTTACATCTATTTTAAGTTATATTTACTGTAAAATAAGTATGTTAACTATTTTATTTTTTGTAAATTAGGATTGTCCTACTCAAATGCATAAATAAATAAATCAAACAACTTCAAACTTGCTGCATTTCAAAACTTTCAAACAAAGATGTTTCCAGGTATATTAACCTTTTTTTTTTTGGCCCAAGATGGGACCTTCTTATGACCCCCCAAATATAAAATCTCAAGTCAAACGAGAAACTCACCTGAATGAGTACTCCGGGCTGGTTATCAGAGTAGGTGGTGAAGGTCTGGGTCTGTTTAGTTGGAATGGTGGTGTTACGCTTGATGAGAGCAGTCATGACCCCTCCGGCAGTTTCGATACCCAAAGACAGTGGCGTGACGTCGAGCAACAGCAAGTCCTGAACCTCCTCAGACTTGTCACCGTGCAAGATAGCGGCCTGAACGGCGGCTCCATAAGCGACGGCTTCATCCGGATTGATCGACTTGTTCAGCTCTTTGCCGTTGAAGAAGTCCTGCAGGAGTTTCTGCACCTTGGGGATACGAGTCGAACCTCCCACAAGGACAATATCGTGCACCTGAGACTTGTCCATCTTGGCGTCACGGATAGATTTCTCCACGGGCTCCATGGTGGATCGGAACAGATCGGCGTTGAGCTCCTCGAACCTAGCTCGGGTGATCGAAGTGTAGAAGTCGATACCCTCAAAGAGCGAGTCGATTTCAATGCTAGCCTGGGTGGAAGAAGACAGAGTACGCTTCGCCCTCTCACAGCTGGTTCTCAGACGACGCAGCGCCCGCTTGTTGCTCGTCAAGTCCTTCTTGTACTTGCGCTTGAATTCTTGAACAAAGTGGTTCACCATCCTGTTGTCGAAATCTTCACCTCCCAAGTGAGTATCTCCTGCCGTCGATTTCACTTCGAAAATACCATCCTCGATCGTTAGGATGGAGACATCGAAAGTACCGCCACCCAGATCGAAAATGAGTACGTTCCTCTCGCCTTGTCCCTTCTTGTCCAGGCCGTAAGCGATAGCAGCGGCAGTGGGCTCGTTGATGATACGCAACACCTGCAAGCCAGAGATAGTACCGGCATCTTTGGTAGCCTGACGCTGTGAATCGTTGAAATATGCAGGGACAGTGATGACTGCGTTCGTTACGGTCTTGCCCAGGTATGCTTCGGCGGTTTCCTTCATCTTGGTGAGGACCATCGAGCTGACTTCTTCGGGGTAGAAGGTCTTCTCCTCTCCCTTGTAGCTGATTTTGATTTTAGGTTTGCCGCTCTCGTTTATGACTTCGAAGGGCCAGTGTTTCATGTCCCCTTGGACGGCGGAGTCGTCAAAACGACGCCCAATAAGACGTTTGGCATCTGTTGACAAACAATGAGAAGGGGTCACAATTTGCCAAAATGGGCTCACAGATTTTCGTTCAGCTTGCAGAATATTTCAGATACTCAACTAATCATAAAAGTAGCTCATAAACTCTAGTCTGGCATGACATATTGATAATATCATCATGATAAATTGATTATTTTCAAAGAATGAGGTGCAAGGTCAACACGACTACATTTCAAATCTTTATATTCACAGAATGAAATGTAAAACCAAGACAACAACGAGAATAATGAATTTTCCTCAATAAATTAGAAAACAACAAAAATTTCTCCACAAATACCAACAGGTTAAGAAAAATTAATGAGAAAATACAACTACAATGACATCTCTTCAAACCTCCGTTTGACAACTTTGGAAAACGGCCGAATTCAAACAGACTTATTGTTTCTATTTAAGTAGTAGGCAGGTCACTAATATCGTCCAGAACTCAGCACTATTGATTTTGGAATAAGACGAAAGGAGAAGTAAGGACGACAATACTAATTGATTCAAATCTAAAGCAAATGGAAATTCAAACGTTGAATCCAGTCTCTATATACCTACACAGTAGGTTTAATGAACTGACGCCTATCAGAAAACAACTACTCCCCTGGCTAATACTACGAAAGGCGTTGGATTATATCCGACAGGCGTCAGTGCAGGAATCTTCACAGAAAACTTCCTGCATATGCAATTGGCAATACAACTGAAAGAGTCGACCTTCAGTTATGGAACGGGCACACTTGCAGACCGGTTTCGGGCTTATTAGCCACTCATCAGTGCAAGATAGTGACCATCATCGACATAAAGTCAATGATATTCCACAATTGAAAATCGGAATTCTTTGAGAGTATTTCGTTCCTCTTCCGAAGTTGGAGCGACCATCACAAAATGTCACTCCATCTAGTGGACGAGGTACTAACCAACTGCACATCCGTAATTTGCCCGATTCCTCTGAATAAGGAAGACTGTCATAGAAGAAGCATGGCCCACTGACTAATAAGAAACTAATTGATGATCCAATGTGATGAATCTCAAGATAGCCTCTAGCAGTGACATTGGTGAAATCACGAGTGGTTCTCTTTATAAGACCAAGTCCCTTCATAGATTTTTTTAAGTTACAGCGGAAATGTGTAATTTATAGCTAGTGTGGAGTCTAGGATCACACACAGATCTTTGGTTTCAATAGAAGAATGTAAGGTCCGATCATTTATACTGTATTCGACAGTGATTGGGTGTATGTGCTTGATGAAAGCGAAGAATTTGGCATTTGGATGATTCAAACACATACCATCTTGCTGGAATACACCTACGCAGGAGTAGGTGGTACCCAAGTCAATACCTACAGCTGGTGCTTTTGCCATCTGAAAACGCAAAAACTCAATGTGAGGAATCGTTGGATAAGTTTGTATTATTTGATTAGGTAAAAGAGTGTTGATTAATGTTTATCTCGGTTTCGCTTGCCACGTTTTTACTGATATGGGGGAACTCTTGACCTTGTGGAATACAAGGAGAAAAACAACAAGGTTGAACCTTATCATTTCTATGGATGGTTGACGAAATAGTTGGATTTCACATGATCAAGACAGTATCGTGATTCCATGCATTGAAAACGTATGTAAAATGCTTTTCCAACTGTATTTATTGGCATGAGAAAAAGCTATATGCGAGAAAAATCAATCACCACGTCCATTTCTTAAACTCTCCTTACATGGAAAATAGTTTATACATCCTGAACAACCTAGTAAGAAATAATGATTGGGATTTTCATTGAATATTCATGATTTTATTTTGTCACAAATAAACTTAAAATTTTGTCCTGACAATTTCGTGGTAGTTGGATGTTTCCCTCAAAAGAAAAGATGTTTATAGTATGATTTGATTCATATAAAATAGTGTTTCAAAGATAGATTATGATTTCAACATGTGGCATTTTTCGTGCATGTCATTCTCTCTAAATAAATATTTTACTCGGGCTTCTCATTTATGAAATATGTACATTTCATACTTTTTAATTGATTTCATGTGAATAACTTTGTGTAATAATAAAACCTTGATGAATATTAAAATTTTTAACATGCCATCGTTTAGTTCAAAATTGTGCCATTTTCATGAAAATGATTCCCAGAAAATTGGTCAGCTGGTCATATTTTATTTTTTATCAAGATTCTTCCAAATATTTCGTCAATTACTCACATTCAGTCCTTTAAGCAAGAAACTTATTCCACTTCCAACAATTCACATTTGCTCCAAGCAGGTTACAAATTAAATGTTTGGACACATATTAAGTATCTGTGGTTTGGAGATCCACATTATTCTAGAATACTGGTTAGATCTAGAATATTCCTTTGTCAGATATGCACAAAAGAATTTAATTAAAACAGTTTTAACCAACCGAACCGTACGTAATCAGGAAAAAGTTAAGACAATTATCGTCCGGACAAATCTAAATAGTGGAAATTATACCAGTTACAATAAAAACTGCAGTAGCAATCAACTGAAAGTAAATTAGGAATAATCGATCTAGAAAAATGCGGTCTTTGGTAAAAATGGAGGCAAAGCGTGCCGCGCCTTCAAGGTGACAGATAATTTCCTTAATTTTACTCGAAATCGCCAGCAAATTCCATAACATGAATCGGAGCATTTTCTATTCGGTAAATATAAGAAACGCTTACCTTAAAACTAGTTAGTTGCAGACAATTCTTCAATAAATAGGTACTTAAGTTACGTGTGTGCTACAGTGAGTACTGTAATCAAATCGAACAAACCTAAGAAATGGCCGGTTTTATATGAGGTCCAAGAATATTCTAGAAAGGCCTTGGCGGCGACCAATGAAATGCCGCGTTTATTCTCTGAATAGCGCGGATTACGGCGTTTTGATTGGCGCAACGAATGTCAGCAACTGTTCTAGACATTTCCGGAATGGCGTATTTTCCGATTTTTATAAAAAATCAGAATCGAAAATATACAAATGGAAATTCATTTCGAATGAAAATATTTTTTAGTTCACTAATTTTGCAACTATTAATATAAAGTCGTCCAACGAATATATTTTGGAGTTCTGGCGGTTAATCTGTTCCTTGGTCTCTGCAAAAACGGAGGGAAATTTAAATGTGATTTAGCTTCTTTGTTTCCTGAATTGTATGCGGTTATATGCAGGATCAATAAAACTTTTTTCATTGAAATTGTAAATAATTGAGGATATCTTCATTTTCAATGACGATATGTTATTGAAGGAATTGAAAATGGACTAAGCAATGAAATTCATTGAGATTACGTTATCGTATTATTAGTCATCACTCATTGGTTATTGGAAGTTTATTAGAAATGAATATAAATGAATAGGAAGTGAATCATGTTTTTAATGAAAAATAAGCTGAACAGGATCTTAAAACCCGATAAAAATTCAATATTTTGCGATTACAACGCAATAAATATCTATTAAGCATTGGATGTTCCAAAAAACTCAAATGGTTAAAATATTTCCATTTTCTTTATCAAGTGTTAGCGGGTAGAGAAAATTCTGAGACTAGTTTCCTGAGGTATATTAGCTATTGAATTTTTTCTATGGAAATGATTCTATTCTGATAAGAGACAAAACATATATGTATCTTTCTGAAAAAAATTAATACCAAAACTGAAATAATAACACCAATCAATGAGATTTCATTGAGTTAATAATGCATCGGTAGTTTAATCGTGGCACTAGAGGTCATTGCGATAAAAAATACAATGGATATCATACGATTTCCTGAAAGAATCCTTGGAAAAACCTTCAATTAACAGAAACCAGTAAATAGGTATGTGATAAAAGGATGAGAACAATAATAATGACAGTGTTGCCAATAAATTTGCAGTAAATAAAAATAAATGTTACCTCTGAAAAAACACAAATTCATCACTTCATTTTAACATGTATCGATAATTAAGGGAAAAAATCCACGTTTTTTAATTTTTGTTATGCTCAAATGGAAAAGCTTACCACGAAAATAGGGTTTTCAAGACTGCCAACTAACGTTTTCTGAATGACAAATTCATCTTTGCATTATTATGACTAAAAAACTCGAATACTTTTCTTGAAAATGGAATTTCTGAAAAGCCCAAGTTTAACATTGGTTTCAATTGAAAAGATTTAGAAAAAGACTCCATAATATACGCATTAAATTGTATTCACATGGTATTGAATAATTGACAAAAGAACTATATTCAAATAAGGACCACAGAATTTTTTTCGGTAGAAGTGACAATAGCAATCTGATATATTTTACTTTGTTTGAAATATTCATTCATCCGATCATGCCGGCAAAAAACCCTTTTCAAAGACGTTTTACATGTTCAAACATAAAAATGATCATCATCATCACTGGAATATCTCAACAATCATAGATTTACTTTGCTGTTGTGTTCGGTTATTATCCTTATAAAACGTGTTGGTAACACTGAACACTGAACTCGATTGTCATTCTGCAAGTGAAACAATACTATGTGAAAAATATCATCAAAATAGTATTTTATTTACTTTTCGTGGGCATTAACGTATTTACAATTTACTAGATATACTTCAACAATTATATAAGATAGAAGTATTACAACACTTTAGGGGAAATGTCACTTTACTGTGTTTGGCATGACACACTGTTTCGTTAATAGCGCTAAATTCAAATTCAAACCAACCTCATGACTCATTTTTCTTTTGCAATAGCTGCAAAACCAATCGCTCCAAATCGAATAAATGTTCGTCGTCAGTATCAGGGAATAAACACCTCACAGCTTCGGCCAAATTAAAAACGTATTCAGCATTCGAACCACTGTGTCCGGAAGCTTTTACCACTTCAGCTGCAATAATTTCCATATCAGCCGGCCCTGCGTAGTTCTCACTGTCTTCAGTCACGATGTAAATATCGGTTTCAACAGGGTCTTCATCCGCACCGATGGGAAAGAAAGTAACGCTCTTTCTCTCGTACCCATTTTTTTCTCGAAAGTCCAAGTGCTTCGATACGTACTCCACGTCTCTGTCGGCTATTTTGTAGGCAACCCCGTATACTCTGGAATGTTCGTCAGCAGACGGTATAAGGGTAAGTCCTCTTCCCGGTAGTTCTGGTGTCCCGCGATGTTCCGTGGCTCGCTGATAAAATCTACGGTCGTATCCCTTGATGAAGCCTAAAAGTTTCGATTCGTACGGGAAATCCACCTTCCAAATCAATGAACCGTATCCAAAAACCCACATCGTATTCGAAATCAGTAATTGACTGACACGTGTTACTTGTAGTGGAAAGTTTGCTTTGTTAGAGATAAGATTTTTTAGAGTGTTTTACAAAGCGCGTGCACCGTGACCTAGAAAAAGACGTGTTGCAGAATAAAGATGTCTGAAATAAATAAGAGAATGCATGTATATCCAATATTTGTCGAGCGCATACATCTCTTTTTTTGTTCATTCAATTCAATTAATTTATATCAACCCAAAAAATATTTTGTTATCTTTAGATCACAATGTAAGTAACTTATTCAGAATAATTTTTATTTGCGTCACCAAAGAAAGTAGGTGACAATACCGTGAATATTTAAACGTTATTTTATTTCATTCTGTGGAAAACCACTGATACCCTGAAATTAATTGAATTTTTATTTTAATGTACAGTATATCTATCGATTCTAATTAATAGGTAACCTTTAGGTGTTTTTACTTATGAAATATACTTTTCTACCGACTTTAGTGAATGAAAAATATTAGAAAACTACAGAATGGACTCTTGATTATGATTTTTTATTTATATGCCAAATAGAATTTGTAAGATTAAGACTAAATGAAATAAAATATCGTAGGATACGTGTCCGTATTCAAAAAACACACTTTAATGTGAGATTTCCAGCTGGAAGTTTACAAAACCGCGGCGACACGTGTTCCACTTCGCAGTAGCATTTTCGCATGAGGATGCTATAGTATAGCGAAACACGTGTCCTGGTTGATAGTATCCTGTCCCAAGAACACGTGTCCGCTGTACCACGACACATGTTTCGCCATACTATAGCATTATCGAGAGATGTTATCAAAAGCGCGACACGTGTTTCGCCATACAGTAGTATTTTCGCACGAGGATGCTATCGTATAGCGAAACACGTGTCGCTGTTGATAGCATCCTGTCCCGAGAACACGTGTCCACTGTACCACGACACGTGTTTCGCCATACTATAGCATTATCGAGAGAAGATGCTATCAAAAGCGCGACACGTGTTTCGCCATACAGTAGTATTTTCTCACAAGGATGCTGTCGTATAGTGAAACACGTGTCATGGTTTTGTAATCACATTTAATTAAAGTGTGATTTTCGATACTTAAAAATATTATTTTGAGAGCAAGAATCCAAATATCTATTTTGAATTTATTAAAAATATGACCGAACAGATTTGTACTAACTCGATACTTATATTCAAACAATCATGAATCATAATACCATCAACTCAAAATGGAACACAATACATACCTACATTACAACGAAACTATGATTACAATATTCAGCTTACTAATTATGAAAATTGGTCAAATGTATTAATTCTTACTACTTTTTTATCTTGCTCATATTGATTCAAAAATATGAAAATATTTTACAAAATTTGAAGAACATCGTTAAAAATATAATAGAACTGACCTGTACTTGATGAAAATCCATTATAACGTACCAAAAAAATACACTTGAGATTTACACTTGAAGTTTACAAAACTCCGACACGTGTTTTGCTATACTATAGTATGGAAAACACGTATCGCTGTTTTGTAAACTTTCAAAAGTGGAAATCTCACATTAAAGTGCGTTTTTTGACAACGTTGAGAATATCGTTTTTCTATAAATCAGAATGTAGTAATAAATTCAATACATACTGCTTGTTCCGGCGTAGTCCTTCACTGGTGGTGTCACATGATGAAGAGTCGTCCAGGGTGCACATCCGTTTGCCTCCGACATTATCACTACGTTTCCACAAGACCCCATGTGTCATATTCAAGTGCCCTGCTTGGTACAGTTGAACTTATACCTCGGACCCGGAAGTCACGCAGGTAGCTGAAGCTGCCAACGTGGTAATGTTAGGTGTATCCCAGAGATTCTAGGTCTCCCAACTAAAACCACAAATGTTTGGTAAGCTCCTGTTGTTGACTCTGTTCGTTTGTGTTGTTTCTTGTTATCGGCAACCAAGTGTTGCCAACTTTGCACTTGGTTGCACCACGCTGGTGGTGCCAATAGCCAGAAACACGTGTCCGCGGTTTGTCCCTCCCTTTCTAGAGTGATATTACGTCAAATCTCCTTTTTGATTTCAATCATAAACACTCGCAACCACCTTTTTTATATTTATTTATGTAAGGTGTATCCTAAAGATTCCAGGTCTCCCAACTGAAACCACAAATGTTTGGTAAGCTCCTGTTGTTGACCCTGTTCGTTTGTGTTGTTTCCTGTTATCGGCAACCAAGTGTTGCCAACTTAGCACTTGGCTGCACCGCGCTGATAAGGCCGATAGCCAGAAACACGTGTCCGCGGTTTGCTCCCCTCCTCCTTTTCTAGAGTGCTGTATTGTTAATTCTCCTCTTTTTGATTCATGATATATATACTTCTATACATTTTTTCCATATGATAGTACATTTGGCAAGGCGAAAGTATGATTAAAATATTTAAATTACTGTTATTTTAGAAAAAGGTTCTTATTGATATATATTGCTAATACAAAACAAAAAATATATGACGCATATTGTATTTGATACCGATGAATTTTATGCAATATATTTGTCAGAACGAAAGTACCATATAATTAATGTTTGAAACTAATGGCAGTAGTTTCTTACGGATCATTCAAGTAGAAATATTTTCCCTTTTTATAAAATTTTACCTCTTGCAAGTGTATTTATTTTTGAAGTATGTATTCGATATATTTAAAAATATTGACACATTTTATTAAAATTCCAATATTAATACGTTGAATACAAGGTAAAAAATGATCTTCACGTTCCATAAGTGAGACTTGATATTATATCAAATTATCCTAATTTATTGGATCTAGGATTGTAACCAACTTCCCGAAAATTTGAAACAATAGAGGCATTATTTCGCTTTAATTCAAGTGACTTTCTATCAGAAAAATGGTACTTTACAATATTAATTTGTTCTTGTTGAATATATTTTCATGTACTTTTCTTATGACAACTTGTTTTTGTGGTATTTTTGTTTTGTATGTACTTTATTTTATTTCCGATCGACTATTCCTAAAAATTTTACATCGAAAAGGAAAAAACTACTTTATTTTGAGAAATTGAAAGGTTAAAGATTGTAGATCTATATGAAGCCTGAATTAGTTCACTATGTTATTACGACATGTTAATGAATCATTAAAAAGGATGTTCTTGTCTTCAACATTCTCTCTAAGAGAATATTGAGGCATACAAATTGAAAAAGGTAGATTTTTCAGGAGAAAAATTGTAAAATATTTTCTTCCACTTGTATTTGTTTATAGAAGTGAACTCTGATGAAATATTATGCCTACTTTACGATAGAAATCTGCAAACTTTTGATGACTACAAGAAAACACCTGAAAATGTTCATGTTTGTTTAAGATGAATTCTTAAAGACATTTGCTTCAGAGAGATACATGGGGTTTAAAAAAATTTGGGAGACAATAAATAATTTATTAAAAAACTGTTGCTAATCAAATTGAACTAGGTACTTTTACGTATACTGGATTCGTTTAACAAAGCTGAGACATTCCTTTCCAATTCAAACAAGTGGTTATCCTTGACAGAGGGAAAGAGTGTTCTCATGGCGTCAGCTAAATTAAAGACGTAATCAATGTTAGGGCCGCTGGGCCCCACAGATTTCACTACTTGCTTGGCAATATCTTTCAGGTCGGCGTACCCTGCATAGTTGATGTTATCCTGATTAGCAATATAAATAGTAATCTCAAAAGGTTTTTGGTCGGAAGAGATAGGGTAGAACATTACAGACTTTCGTTCGTATCCGTCTTTTTCTCTGAAATCCAGGTGGCTGACGACATCTTCGATATCAGAGTCTCTGATTTTATAGGCAATCCCATACACTCTGGAGTCTTCCTTGGCAGGAATTATAGTAACAGTTCTTCCGGGATTTTCTGGGGTTCCTCTGTGGTCCGTGCTGTACTGGTAAAATCTCCTGTCGAAGCCCTTGACGAAACCCAGAATCTTCTCCTCAAAGGGAAAGTCCACTTTCCATATTAGGGAACCATAACCGAATATCCACATTTTATAAAGGTTACCCTCTTGACGTTTTATTTAATACTTTACGGTATTTATCATGTGATCGATAACGGATGAATTTTGAACATAATATTTTGACAAAGAGGGAGGAACTGCAATACTGCATCAGTCATCATTTCACTTGACAGTCAATGTCCTAGTTCCAGTAGGTATGTTTTCAAGGTCACTTACATACTATTTGAACTACTGGACGTGGCTCTACCTCCGGTATCGTATTTTAAATACAACAGTAGTTACAGACGTAGACAAGGTAACTCAAGCTATTCAACTTTTTGTATTCACTTTGATTCATATTCGACAAGACAAATAGGTACCCAAAAACTATTTTTTTTTGAAATTTTCGATTACCCAGAAAGTTTTCTCGATACTGATGTACACCTATGCAATTAAGAATAAATAAGTTATCATTAAATCCAAAGTGGATGTGAAGTACTACGTAAATGTATGAACCATTTATCTATTTGTCGACAAAGTTTATTGCAGATATTTGTTGTTTCTACTTCATGCAATTACACAGTTGGTGATTGGTTGCTGCTTACAAGGTTTTCTTGGAGGTTTTCCATCCTGCACCTCGTCTATTATATTCGACAGGTCATCGAAATCTGGATATGCTAAAGTGGATAATTTCGAATGAACCAATGACTCGTTTATGGTAACTTCAAAAGACCCTGAAAATAACTGCTATGAAAATCACGACCAGCATTTTCTAGGTTTATAATTATAGCCACTGGCGGTATGTTCAAAATTCCGGATGAAGAGACACCACAAAACTTTTTAATGTCAAGGTTTAAACTATAATTGAAGGAGCGGTGGAGATGATTTGTAACATTTTTCATGATATCGCCAATAAAAATGGAATGTACAGGTCCATCCTTTGGTTTGAATATTACCTAATAAAAAGCACTTTATATAATAAGCATGCAGATAATTCAAATACAAATATTTATAACATAAAGCAGCAATATTGAAACTTTGAAATCAGTTTCCACCTATCCAATCAATTGTTACATTATCCACTTATCCCTTCAATTATGTGTCAGTTGCCGGGGTCATAGACATATCTTAATTTCCCTAGAGTTCGAGATAATCACCTCTACGACCCTCATGGCCTTTCACATTCACCGACGGGTGTCTTTCTTTAATATGTTTGGCTAATTCTTCGAACTTGATTTGATATCCGCATTTGTTGCTGAAAACAGTTACATATATTTTTTAAATATCCACATCATCAATCCCTTACCTCCTACCAGTATTCGATGTCCACGTTTACGTCAGTCATCTTTGAAAAGGAGTGACTGTTGAAACACCTAGAAGTACTTTCAACTTTCACCGGTGTTCGGTTATTCCCTTTTTAATATTCGGATTTTCCTTGAATTCGAAAAGTTCATTTCTGTGTTGACTATATGATTGAGATCATATTTTCTTATATTTTACTACTATTGCACCTTATTAGACTTTATATTCTTGACTCGTTGCACAATATATTCACCTTCATTTCAAGAGAGGGATTTCTTCCTCTTCTTATACATTTGAAACAAAACTCTACAGCGGTTGTTTAGTCACTCATTACAATGTCAAAATATTGACAAGTGACAGACTATATGAACTATTCGTAGGCTAGGAGGTGGATGGTCTACTGCAACATAACCGCGTAACCAAATTTTTAATACACGTGAAATATAATTACGTATATATTATGGATTTTGTAATCGATACAGTTGGTGATACGGCTGAAGAGAAAACTCCTTACGGTCCCGGTAAGATAATTTAAAATTCACAAGAGAATTATTTTGATGTTGATTTCTATTTCCAGTTAGCTCCTTTCTAACAGAACTATTCAGTGGCTTGGAAGAACCCAGCAAGCAGAAACCAACTGTTCCCAAAAGTAAAAATGTCTTACTGGAAGAAATACTTGATGACTTAAAGAGGCCTAATGCGAAACTACACAAAAAAAAGAAGTCTGAAAAGGTGGAGGCTTTCAAATCCATTGATCGACAGGAAGTACAAAAAGCTCTTGCAAAGTCAGTTTTAACACCAGAATTTGAAAAATTACATGTTGTCCCACCATTTGAGATATCTGAGAGGAAGCTAAAGCAACAGAGAAAGGTAAAGATACGACAAATTTGTTTCTAGTGAAAAACATACTTTCATTTTCAGAAAGAAAGAGAAAAAACCAAGGGCGATAAATGGTTTGGTTTACCGGCTACAGAGATGACTGAAGAGGTCAAGCAAGACCTGCAAGTGCTACAAATGAGGTCTGTGCTGGATCCGAAGCATTTCTATAAGAAAAATGATCTCAAAGTTCTTCCGAAATATTTTCAGGTGAGTAACAGTAACTTGATAAAAGTCGTTTCAGTTTATATCAACACTGTCATTAAGTCAGTTTATTTACCAAAGAAACAACTCTTGTAAACCATTGTTTTTGTGACCAAATTGTTCTGTCCTCGTAATCGTGGAGGAAGAATTCACTCAAACGCTATTATTGTCTTTACATTACAGATAGGAAAAGTAATGGATTCCCCTATCGACTTTTATAACGATCGAATCCCCAAGAAACAGCGCAAGAAAACTCTGGTGGACGAACTGTTAGCAGACGCTCAGTTCCAGAAGTATAACAAGAGGAAATATAAGGAAATCATCGAGGACAAACAGAAGACGCACTACAAAGCTTGGAGGCAGGCGAAAAGACTGAAGAAAAAGAAATAGAAAATTTTTGTTCAAAAGAAATAAAAAGCATTTATTAAAAAAAATTGCTTGATTGAAGTTATTTACGTAACAAATGTAAGATTAAAAATTTGGGTTTTGTAGCATGAGCAAGTTTAATTTTATAAACATTTACTCAAGCAGGAAATTTTTATATTCACTTGTATAATGTTCCAAGAAATTTCCTTCAATTTCATCGAAATACAACTGAACAATAAAAATAAATCTGCAAATTTTGTACATAAAGTCAATTTGGTTCAAAATTTTTAATAAAAGACATACTTACAATAAAAATATGTTAAATTTCTCAAAATCCTTGATCCTAGAATCCCCCCGTAACAGTTATGGAAGCCCCAGTTATGTAGGAACTTTTGTCGGAAGCTAGAAAAGCTATGACTTCTGCAACTTCTGGAAATATTAGATTTCATTCAATACGACTGGGGAGGCTCTAATACATTTACAACCCACCTTCTGGTCTTCCAAATCTTTTCAATGGTATCATCGACATGAACTTCTCTTGAACCTTCTCTGGGACGGTCTCTACTATCGGAGTCGATATCATTCCCGGTAAAATTGTGTTCACCCTTATACCCATTTTTCCCAATTCTTGGGATGCTGTTCTTGTTAAAAGTTCCACTCCTGCTTTGCTGGCAGTATAATTAGTTTGTCCTATATTCCCGTATTTACCTACTATGCTGCCTATGTTGATGATGGACGCATTGGTGATTCCATGATCGACGATAGATTTTCCAAACGTTTTCATCACGAGGAATGTACCCTGTAAAAATTGTTTTTTAAAATGCTCAAGTATTCACGTTGTTCTGCAAATAGAGATATTTTATATTTCCGAGTTCTATATGGCCAATACTTTTTTAGGCATCTCTGACAGGAATGACTGAAACAACTATCCAAGTGAATATGTATTAATTATTTGATTACCTTCAAATTAACATCAATGACTTCCTCAAAGTCCTCTTCAGAGAGCTTCAATAAAAAGTTATCTCTAGTAATACCGGCACAATTGACGATTATGGTAGGAGGTTTTGAATATTTTTCCAACGTCTGGAGTAGGGCATTTCCCACACTTTCTGATTTCTCGACGTGCAAGTCTATACCGAGGTGCATCTGCGTTGGACTGCTAGGAATACAGTTGATGGTTTCGTTTACGTTTTTAACAACTTTATCAGCCACGACTACGGAGGCACCTTCTTTGGCCAGCAGTTGGCATGCAGCCTTTCCGATGCCTGAACCACCCCCTAAAATTGCGACATTGTGAAAAAAGACACTTGCTATAGAGAATCGAACCTGTGACGAAAGCTAATCGACCAACGAAAGACATGGCCCAGTGTTTTTTGTTATTAACTCTTCCTTGGGAGTTTCTAGTTGTTTATATCTCAATATGAAACTCACTCGTGGAGTTGCCCTCTGTCCTAAGTACGTTATCAGCTTTCACCTTGAAACTGATACATGATAAATTTTTCAAATACGTAATAATAATCTCCAACTAAAAAGAATATAAACAAATATTCCATAACCTCTATAAAAGAAATGAATGGTTTGTTCGTTGGTTGAATGGTCCTAAGAAGTACTATCAACGATCGGTTCTTGGAAAAACAAATTTCTGATGGTCAAAAAAACGAAATTGGCGAATTCTACGGAACTGGACGAAACCGTCATGATTTTTTATTTACCCATGCTGGTTCTTCTTATCCTGGATACATGATCCCAAGAAACGCTTAGTTTCAAAATAGAAATTTCAGTTTTCACGTAAAATATCTTTCAATATCAACTTCTGCTAATTACAATTAGCTTAAAACAGCGAAACTCATGAAAATGTTCATTCCTATCCCTGTGTTTATAGACTACAGAGGCCGGCATGGGAATATGTGAAATGGGTTCTAACATTTCTGTCAGGCCTGTGTGAATATATGGGTTTTATATAATATTGATGAACTGAATCAATTTTAGTCCTACCATTAACAATTCGTCAAATTGAGAACAAATACATGATGACAGTTGAATAGGTATTAGAGTGAAATATCCTCATCTAACTGATAAGGTTGTGGCAGTCTCCCTCTATTCTACAATTTCTAAACATTTCAGCAATCAATCTCCTTTTATTTTTTTACGTTATAATTGAAAAGTAATTGAAGTTATTATTTCCACGCAATCATATCCAAAACTAACGCAAATTAAAGCTTACGCTGGATCTTTACCTAATAAGTTTTGTAATTCCATGATTCATCGGATTCGCTTTTTCAGCTTTTTTGCGTGATATCAAGACCTCGCTTAAAACACTGATCTGCTTCGAAAATCCACTTAATAACTTCACTTCATCAACAGCGGATTCTGAAAACGTATGGCATGGTAGTAAAGACACAATCATAGGTATTATATATTATTATTTAATATCTATGGATACGTTCGACAGATAGGCTTTCAAACGTCAAATATACAACACACTTTTTATCGTATTTCCGATATTTCCTACAGAGGTCGTATCAGGAAGCTAGAAAACTAACCTCCTTACGTCACATCAAATCATGCCTTCAATAAAGTAATGTAAGGAGTTGTTTTTATGTATTGTAGCTGAAAATTGAGGAAAAGTGGTTTCTATTTTGAAGAAAATGGTGTCTTGGAAACTCACCAAATGCATCTTCTTGGGCTCCCTCCCAGTGTGCGGCTACTTTGCAGGAACACATCTAGAAAGACGAAAGCTCTTGGACCACTCTAAAGACACCCAACTTCGAAATTTACCAGCGTTACCATTATTCGGAACTGTCTCGGCAGCTTCCCCCATTGCTCCCGCCCAATCAACACAACTCGAGACTAATGTTAGCAGAGTATCGCAAATAATGAAATACGGCTTTCCAAGTCTAGACCATGTAAGATCTTTTGACGACTATGTTTTAAGCTACGATCGTCGTAACAGGGTGGCGCATTGGGTCTTTGAGCACCTCACCGCAGACAGGGTAAAACCTAACGACGGAGTAGATAGATCGAAATGCGAATTTAAACCTGACGAAAGTATACATAAGTTTTTCAGGTTCGTGTGTGTATTCTATCAAATTATATTTTTTTTCTTCTAATTCTGGTATAGACTTTCTTTAATTTGATATAGAAACACTCTGAACTATTTGAGGTTAGGAACGAGAGCAAGTCTGTTTTTGAATCAATCATCTGGAGCCTGTTTTCAATACATCTTTTATTAATTTAATTCGTTACATCAGTTAAATGGTATGTTTAATGTAGCTTTACGGCAAATTGGCGCATGACATTTGGTATAATTTTAGAATTACCATTTACATTGGTCACAAATAACAACGGGCCAAGAATGGAACCCCGTAGCACCGCTTGCAATACACCAGTTTTTCCTAAGAAGTTCCGTTCATCATTTTCAGAAATACAAACTAATTGATATGCACATCTCAAAATCATAAAGTTGAATAACCTTTATGACTTTTCACGTTTTCAGAAAAGAGAGTGATGGGAAGAACTACGTTAAATATGAAGTTATCGGTGCTAACCATGTAGCTGTCCCCACGCACTTCTATAAGGTTGTCGTCGGAGAAACGGCAGATGGTAATTTGGAGATGGAAGCGTATGTTATGCCAAATCAAGTTATAGATAATGAGACTCCTCTTACAAGTTTTCAAGTGAGAAAAAAAAATTCTATAATCAAAACAATTCAAGTTTTCCAAATGGTTTCTTGTAGGAGTGCTAAATTACATTTAATTTTAGGTACCACCAGAGAGCATAGAAAGAGCAGCTGGTCTACTGTTTTTTGATAATATATCCAGGAGTAAAATTAGCAAAATCAATGGGAAGAAATCTTAACCGCAAAACAATTTCGATTAATTAATAATAGTCTAGAGAGTGATAGTTGATAAGAACCAAATATTGATTGTTTTATGTACAGACTGCAGGACTTATTTTATTAGTTTTTATTCAGATTGATTATGTATACACATTTTATGCTGTAAATAAAGCCATGTTGGTAAAATTGTTTTATTCATACTCTCAAAGGTCATGTACAAATATGATGGGAAATGGCAAGTGATTTTTGAAATGCCTCACTACTGAATTTCAATCATCAAAAGGTATTACTAGGGTTTTTTCCCAATACCAAACCGTTATTTTATCACCTCGACACGTGTTTCGATCACCAAGTGATCATCTTCAAGAGGAACATCAAACTTGACACAATTAACTCAATTGTGTTCATCTACCGTTTATAGTAATACATCTATAAATGCTTACGTTTGATCTTCATCAGTAATAACTTCTTGATTGTTGTTTGGACTTTAAAGTATTTGCTCTTTCTCCAAAGATCTCAAACATGTTGATTTTCTCTCAAACCAAAAGCTGTAATAGTTGGATACTTCTCGATGTCATTCTACCATCCCCGTACTCTAAACGAATCACTTGGATTCAGTCTTTTTAATGGTAATAGCGACACCCATCAGGGCTGCTTGTTCCAATAGTTCTCTATTCTTCCTTAGGTCGCTGTCTAATGCCTCCCGTTTATTCTCTCTTAGATGTTTGGCCGTCGTTTCGGTTGGCTCCACTAAACCATTTGATATTTGGTAGTAGACGCAAGTCGAATCCGAATGGACGATGACTAAGTAGACGATATCAAAAGGGTTCGTTGTTATGAACTTCTGAAGTGTCAAAAAGTTCAAGTTTTTGTAAACTGTTGTTGGTATAAAAGCACTGATAGGGCCGTTCTTCGTTTTCTTGGCCGTTAGTACTACCTTATTTATTTCTGTGTTATGGTAATAGTTTACGTCGTAGTATCTCTTTACTTCACACAGTTCTAAATATACTTGCAAGGTAATTACAGCTTCTTGTTTACCGACATATTTCATAAATTCTTCTATCAGTTTGTCGTTCATCTTTAAATTTTTAAAACCGAAAACTCAAAAAAAAAATGAAAACAACCTCAAAAATAAAATCTTCTTCTTTTAATTACTCTTCATGGCCTCGGCTGCTATCTGCCAGGGTATTCAGTGACAGTACGGAATACTGTGTTTCAGTTATCACCACAGAACTAATAATTATTATAGGCATATTCGGGATTACGTTCTGTACAATCCTAGAACAATGAAAAGTAGTCCTACAGTTGAACCTCAGCAAGTTATGTAGGATTTCTGAATAACCAGTTGGGTAACTATTAAGAACTGTATCAGAATCGCCCCAGTGGCAAATCCGAATATACTTAGTTCTGTGAATTAATTTGTATTTCATGATTGTTCCAAATAAATACTATATCTCAGGAGTACACCAAAGAAACACTGACTAGGACGCGTTTCAAATATGGAGAATGGACGTATTCTGGGAAGAGATGATTTGGTTGTCCCACGAACTAACCTTGCAAGAACAATGAATTCTATATTTCACAGAGGACTCTTGGACTGTAACAAGCTTTCTAATGAAATTAAACAAAGTAACACCCTCCAACGCTCCTTATCTCAATATCTACGGGCACAATATTATTCCAATTGAGTTGTTCATCATTCTTCTCTCTTTTCTCTCTATTAATCTCTTCATCATTTACTACTGCTATGTTTTACACACTATATTCTACTATATAAGTCTTATATATTTCAGCTTTTTTGTATTTTGTTCAATAGTAACTGATATATTTGTATAATATTTATGTATACTAGGATATCTACTTCAAATAAATATATTTCTATCATAATAATGGTACATAATTTAATGTGCGTGAAGTAAGATGGGAAAATGGGTACTGTTTATCTTGTTATTTTATTCCTCTTCTCGAATTAGCACATTTCTCAAGGAAGTCATGAAATCTATTAAAATCTGTTTTTCCGTTAACTATTAGCTGTCGCCCCCCACGAACAACAACCCACAAAAGTCGAAAATTGTGAGAACTGAGGATTAACGAGATCTTACATCTTAACGTGCGATTCCTAGCACTGATTGTACGACAGGCAGTGCTTTTTGAGGTTAAAAATGTTTTAAACGAATACAAATTCATTTTGTGAACAAATAAATTGCCTGTTTTCGTTAATAATTTGTATTAAAAAATTAGACATTGTATTTTCATTTTTTTCTCAAGAAAACGCGACTTTATCATGTCATTTCAAGAGCATGGCAATACTGTGACTTGACAGAAACGTGATTCATGTCGATCGTTGAAATAAAAAAGGGGTCTTTTGACTTTAACCTATAACACTTTTTTAACATAAATCTCAGAATGGCATTAATTAGCTTAAGAAGTTTTTTGAAATGTGGACAGATAGTGAATGAATCTATTCTTTTCAATAGCAGGTACGCTATAATAGTTATATTTTTCACTAGATTAACATTAACATTACATCATATTTGATAATTTTTCAGAAGTTTAGCGTTGTCCAGCACAAGAAAGAGTTCCATCGCCGAGGAAACGAAACCGGATCCAGCAGTACAAGACATGAGCGAAAAAGATAAAAGTGAAGTTAATGTAGAAATTGACAAATTGAATAAACAGATCACCGAACTTTCAACTCAAAATGCTGAACTATTAGTAAGTCTCACTTTGGAATAAATTGATTTCTGTGATGTTACGGATTATTATTTCAGGATAAATATAAAAGATCGTTAGCAGACGGGGAAAATCTCCGTAACAGACTAACTAAACAAATTTCAGAAGCTAAAATATACGGCATACAGAGCTTTTGTAAGGATCTACTCGATGTCGCAGATGTTCTGGCTAAAGCTACCGATACGGTTCCCAAAGAAGAACTCACTGACAAAAATCCACACCTGAAAAGCCTGTACGAAGGTCTGATAATGACGGAGGCTCAGTTGAAGAGCGTTTTCAAAAGGCATGGGCTGGAGCAAGTGAATCCTCTGAACGAGAAATTCAATCCAAACTTCCACGAAGCACTGTTTCAGCAGGTAAATAATAGTTAATTTGAAACTATTTTTAATTTGCATATTTATTTTCCTGGCTCACACTAGTTTTTGAAAAAAAAAAAAATTTGACTCGAGTATTTCTGTTCTCTGATTACAAGTTAGAAGTTGAAATTTGGGGCCCTTATCTAATTTTTGGCAATTAAAACTCTCAAAATGGCACTTCCGTTTCACTGCTTGCTGTAGATCTTTATTCAATGCTCTGACCTGTTATTCCATCCATGTGAAGATTTGAGATTTAATTCAAAAATTAGAAGTGTCGGAAAAAAGGAATATTTACTTAGGACATAATTGAAAATTTGTTGGTTATATCCACTTTAGAGACACAGTTATCGTGTTTTTTTGAATGTAAGATTAACTGAACTTTTTTTTCTAGGAGGTAGCAGGAAAAGAATCTGGCACCGTTGTGGTTGTTTCCAAAATCGGGTACAAACTAAATGATAGAGTAATAAGGCCTGCCTTAGTAGGGGTTTCCAAGTGACTGTAACGTGCTAGTGGTTATTATTTTTAAGATTGGTATCGTTCCAATGTGATTTTGATTGTCTCACATGAAACAGTACGACTAAAATTGTTCAAAATATTTTGTAAAAATTATAAGTAAACCTTTGTTATTATATGTTCATTATACTGTTGAAAAAACAACTGTATTGTGTTTGATATTGAAAACACGTCTATGTTGTCTATCATCATTTCTCAAGTATTATTTATCTTGAAGGGTAGTTATGACATACTTGGGTATATGTGTATATACACTACATGTGGATATATATATACACTACATGTGCATATATATATATACACTACCTGTGGGTATATATATACTACATTTCAAGTCCAAGACATTTTTATTCCATAAAAATCCTTTAAAAAATCAAAATAACAAATTCAAAATGGAAAAACCAGGATGTTAAAGATAAAACAAGATCGAACTCCCTCTACACAGTTATTTACTCCTCTTGTGACCAGATGGGGGCTTCTGGAGCTGGAAATTGTTGGAACTCTGACCGAAAGAGGAAGTGCCAAACAAAGAGGCGCTGGGAGTCTGCGGCCCCCCCAGACTACTCCCGAACGACATACCGCTCCCGAACCCTGCCTGAGGAGTTGCCGTAGGTCCCTGGAAGGTCGGAGGGTTCTGGCTCTGCTGCAGCAGCATGATGCTGGTGTTTCCCATGTTCAGATTACTGAATGGAGTGGGGCCAGTGGCGACTTTTGGCGGGGAGTATATCAGGGCGCTCTTCAGATTGTTCATGCTCAGTTCCTGAGGCGTGTAGAGCTTCTCGAAAGGGTTGTAAAAATCGTTGCAAACCTGCTTGCGCAGGTTCAAATAACTTTCTTTCTGGGACTCGACTTGGTTGTGAATGGAATGCAACCGTCCGGCTAAAGCGACAAACGTCTCGTGGAGTTTCCGGATTCCTATGAAATGACACATTGTTGAATTTCCTCCAATTTTCTCGATAAGTGTCGAAAAAGCGGAACATTAGTACCCTATTATCAATAAGATTATCTTCAATACAATTATGCATATTTACTACAATTCATTTATTTCATTTCACTTTTTTCATATACCGAATTCCGTGTAGTTGTGGTTCGTTTTACATCGGAATTACAAAAGAAAGCGTTAAAACGCGATTGACTGAACATTTTGATATAATTTTTAAATATACAGGGTGTTTGGTGTAGGTGCTACAGACCAAAATTCCATTTTTTTAAATAGAACGCCCTGTATATCATTACATATTCAGATGCTACGTTAAATTCTGATATCATTTCATGTTTGGTTTTTGAAATTCGGTTACGGCGTTGTTGAGTTATTGC